CCTAATATTGAGTTGGACCTCCTTTTGCCCTCAGAACAGCCTCAATTCGTTGGGGCATGAACTCTACAAGGAGACGAAAGCATTCAACAGGGATGCTGGCCCATGTTGACTCCAATGCTTCCCACAGTCGTGTCAAGTTGGTTGAATGTCCTTTGGGTGGTGGACCATTCTTGATAAACACAGGAAACTGTTGACCGGGAAAATGCAGTTCTTGACACACTCAAACCGGTGTGCCTAGCACCTACTACCATACCCCGTTCAAAGGCACTTAAATATTTTGTCTTACCCATTTACCCTCTGAATGGCACACATACACAATCCATGTCTCAATTGTCTCAAGGCTTAAAAATCCTTCTTTAACCTGTCTCCTCCCCTTCATCTACACTGTTTGAAGTGGATTTAACAGGTGACATCAATAAGGGATCATAGCTTTCACCTGGATTCACCTGGTCAGTCTATCTCATGGAAAGAGCAGGTGTTCCTAGTGTTTTGTACACCCATCCATTGTTTTTGTCAAAATTGCTCATGCTCTGTAAATATGGTTGGGAATCGTTGATGGACTACAATATTCAAACCTTGTCTCTGATTTTCAAGTAAATCTATGTCAGGATTGAGACTGGACCACTCAAGAACACCTCTTAGAAAGCCATTCTGGTGTGTCTTTGGCATTAACATTTTTGTAATTGTCTCGCTGAAAAATAGAACTGTGTTGTTTTGTATTGTAATTGACCCAAACCTATAGTTTTTAATTTAGGCCAAAAAATTTATTTATTTGCTGTGTTGTCTTGCAGTATTACAAAACGGGCTTGTTGCAAACATAATGGATGATTTGGAATGGATTTTTTAACACAGGTTTCCTTCTTTTCTCTTTGTCATACAAGCCAGTAATGTGGAGTGAATGCAATGTTGTTGATCATCTGTATTTTCAAGTATTGTGGTGGCAGCATCATGTTATGGGTATGCTTGTCAACAGCAGGGACTGGGGAGTTTGTCAGGATTAAAATAAATATGAAAGGAGCAAAGCCCACGTATAAAGTTAAGAGTATAACCCGACTCAGTCGTATTTAATCCCTTTTTAGATCGGATTTTAAGGCAGCAAAATGTGAAGACTGTGCAAGGGGTGTGTAGACTTTTACTAGGCACTGTCCAAGAAACACTTCGCTCAGTCAGTAACTCACTGGGTACTAAAGGTACTGTACTGCCTGGCTGTCTGAACAGGTGAGACTACTCAGAAATCAAAACCCAGAGATGAAACCCTTCAAATAAAGTGATGACACTCTTCAAAGGTCTCTGGAACATTAGCTGTCAGCACAAATAAAAGGAATGCCCATTCAGCAATACAGTACCTCCTATCCACAAACACCTGAATCTTCATAATTTGAAAATATGAAGGGCTAAAAGTACTACAATTATTAACCCATTCTGCTCTGCTTTATATTAGACTGTGGACTCTACTCAGACATGTTTGCCTGATCCATCTTCTACCTGTGTGGGAAAACTATAGTAGCTACGTATTTGATTATTTCCTGCACACAACCCCTAGCTACTACAACTGAACTGCCACTTAATAATATCTCCCTTTCATATGTTAATTTCTCCTGCTCATACATAATCATAACTCCTGAGGAAGTTAGTGGGCTATTGCAGTTTTTTTTTTAGACATGGTCGTGGGTCCTGCTCTTTCTAATCTAGAATGAAAATAAGCACTGGAATGCACTGGACAGCTCTACAGGAATGCCCATGGTGCAATGCAGCGCAGATGCAACTGGACTCCTGGGGGGGCCCATGCTTCTGGCTGCCCCAGAGTTGCAAATAAGATAACTTACACAATCACAAATTCCATTTGGAGGGAAGTTAGCCAACATAGTCACTTAGACAGCCACAGTGAAATCTCTTGATTTAACTTGACACAAGGTCCCATTGCTTTACCCCAGTCATTTCTTAGCACATGCCCTCATTCTGTATTGAATGGAGTTCAAAATGTTTTTTATGACAGATCTTTGGTGTTTACAGACTGAAGGTTCATGCTTGTTGACACGTTTTCAAAAGTGGATCACTGCTACTACATGAAGACCATTGATTGTTAAAAACCATAAGCTATTTAACAAGAGGAGCAAGAGCATCTCTCCCTCATAGTTTGTGACCCATTAATGACCATAACTAAATTAAGCACTATGCTATACTTTGTCAAATCAAAGCATTCATATTCTGAATAGGAAAAACTGAAATCCTAGGGAACTGTATCCAGTAATGCAGCCTGCAGTGTCTGGGTCTATGGCTGGCAGTAGTTATGTAACCAGTTATCCTCTGAGAATGAAAGAAACAAGCCCACTGACTGAAGGTGGAAGTGTGTGATGTGAGAGAGTCCCTATGGCACTACAATACCGTCATCTCACTCAACTGCCATGCTAACCCTGGCCCAGCTCCTTAGCTCCAACAAACAATTTAGCTCCGAATAAATAATGATAAGTAACATAAGAAATGCCAGGTCCTTATTGCCAGTTTTACAGTTCATTACTACTGTAGCTACCCCTCCCTGAGTGTTCTGTACTACCTATTAGTGGTACCTAATTCCTAATAGTGGCAGAATAGAAACCCATATATCGGCCAGATAAGGTGCCAAACACTTGCCCTCTGCTGGTGAGAGATTAGCCAACAATAACTCCCCTGGGTAGACACTGATGGCATTAGGCACCTCTCCATCCATCCACCAGAGAGACTGTTGCTGTGGAAGGTTAATCCACAACCCCAACCTTGCCAACAGGTCTCACCTGAGGGCAAGGACCTTTCATCGTGACATAACTAATTCAATAACACCTGTTGACTATCAGCTTTGAACAACACCTAATGGAAATCTATACCTACTCCTTTTGGAGATCAGTGTGCAGCAAGTGTTCCGTTTATGGTTTTAGTTGGCTTTCTCAATCTCATTGATTGTGCATGCTGCCATGTCCATCATCAACAACACTAATGTCACTATCTTGGAGTCCTGAAAACACTCAAGACAGTGATGAAGGAGCTGCCATGACTCAAAGTCCTCTCTCAGCTGGTCTTATAAGGCACAGGGGTATGTTTGCTCATCACAGACAACATAATGAACATGTATCCTTTGTGGATTCTGGAAGTCTCTGCATGATCATGTAATTGCTATGTAATTTAGATGTAATAACAATGTAATAAACATTGCTGCCATTGTATGCAACACTGTTTACTAATTTGTTACCATAACACATTAATTCAAGTGTTGCATGTATGATCCATGAATGGTCATGTACCTGCCACGAGCTGGATGGAATCTCAGCGAATTTCCCGAGTCCTCCGAAGGTGTAGCATCTGTACATATGGTCCAGGGACTCGGAGCAGTGCCAAAGTAAGCCGAAGCTCACAGAGTCCTTATTTTTAAGATGGTCCTTGACAATCCACGCAGGTGATATAAAACTGAAACTACAGATAGCGACCAGAGCGTAGGACAGAAAGACCCAAAAGCAGCCCACACAGCTGAACATCCTCGCAGCTTGGGGCAACGAGTAGCTCGGAGACAGATCGATACCAACCCCGGCTTCTTTCTTCTTCCGATCCAGCAATGAATGCATTTGGAGCTCACACACCCAAAAGAGATCACTGAAGCTCTCCCCAACAAATACTACATCAGCAGCCTCCTGCAGCAACAGAAATAGTTAACAATGTGTTATCCGTATTGATGATTTAAAGGGATATTCCAGTGACCCAAACATCTGCTCGGGATTTCATAAAAGAGTCAAACATGAGCACTTCTAGGTAAACAAGCTGCCACCTCAAAAAGAAGTAATGTTTCCTTTAAATAGGCTATCCGCGACTATACTTGAGAATCTAGAAATATGAGTCACCGCAGGACACAAAAGCTGTTTGTCACACCCGAAACAGAGATGCGCAACTGTCATTCTGTAGATGGTCGCCGCCTGGAAATATGGAACTATCAAATTATCTTAATCGAATCTTACTCACGAGATGTAAAAAATGGTTAGTGTTGCAGTTGGTGTCTATGGGTACGGTTTTGAGTCGCCGCGCTTTGTTCAGCAGGATAAACCGTGGTTTTGGTTACGCGTGGTAACCAGTCGGCAACATAAAAGTGTCCACATTGGCGCGCGCGTCATTGCGCACTGGGAATACTCAAGTGGGCGTATCCCCAAATGTTGTAAACCGTCACTTGTGTTCTCATGTTACTTACTGTAGGTAAATATATTTTTAGAGCAAAGTGATACTAAACCATAAAGATTGCACATTTGGCAAAACATTTGCTAAAGTGCCCATATTTTACTGCAATTGTCTGGGGGAAACAAGAGGAAATAATATTTACAGTGAAATAACCTAGTCCTGATTATTATTGGACAAAACGCTGTTTTTGTCGTTTAAACAAAAATAAAAATCACTGAATATTATATACTTATTGCTTATCATTTGTAGTTAATAGAGATACATTTATCTTGCTCATTTTTGTTTCAATACAGTCCACATTGCCCCCCACTGGTTAAATGGCATTGCAACAAGAAAAATCAGATTTGCTGTTTGATACCTAATTTAGCTACAATATAGGCAGAAACATTTTATTATACGATCGCCATAAAATACTTACAATAAAGTATATCATACTGTACAACATAAAATGGTGATAAAACTATTTGGATGCGCAAAACTGCAGCATCAACCCCAATAGAACTTATGCAAAAGCTAACCACACGCTTGAAACACTGCACTGGGATGAGCATTCATTTGCTTAATTACAGGTTGCATCACCATCTGGCTAGAGGTTAAATAGCCAAGTGCAATTAACAACGTGATGGCCACAAACTATGATCAGCCAACAAGCTAATGACGACTGAAATAGAGCCAAATCCATCCCTGTTTGTCAGCTGACAAGATTTCATACATAATCAGTGCAACGAGAAAGAATTCTGTCATTTTCCATCATTGGTAGCATTTCTGTCCCTTCTGTATAAAAACCAAAATAGACAAATACAAGGCAAACATTTCAATAATATATATATATTTAAATGAAACACAATTTAAATATATTATAGATTAAGAACACATAGGTCAGAAAAACAATATTAGTGGTACATAGTACCAAAATAGTATTTTCTGGTTCTTTTCCACACATCTCAATGAGGTTCAAACAAAGTCATAATAATATTAACATTATATTCACTGAGTACACTTCAATGAGATTTGCTTAGACATTGCTTTTGACAGTACATACAAAAAAGAAAACTGCAACAATCACCATAAAAAATAACTAACATTAATATATGGGGGTAAACCATAAATCTACATATTTATAACATTACATGGAGTAGCCTGGAGTTCTTCTTTCATTGCAACTGTAGCATGTCTTCTTCAGTCCATAATAAGGAGTATTTATTCACTAGCCTACACTGTAATGATATTGACAAGGTGCCAGGGGTCGCCAGAGCTACAGATGGATGGCAAGACCAGGAAATCAAGAAGGTCCATTCCTGTTTGACTGTAACATGTCTGACCTGCTCTATAAAGTACATTAGGGAACAGCCAGGAGGGCAGGCCAGGACGACTCAACCTGACTCACCATCTCATCATAGTAACCCACCCCACTGATACAATACTCCAGGAGGGCCCAGGAATATAAGCATCTGCCGCAAAATAAAAACTGTACAAAGCCCCTACTTCCAGCTGAATTTGTTTTTGGCATCAGTCTAACCCCTTTCAAATAGATGTAATCTAAAAACAAAGAATGAGGAATGGGCATAAAGGCGGTGGTGGTGGTGGGGTAAGGAGAGAAGATGGAGAGGACAACCTAGTCTTCTTAGTGATTGCTTAGTGAAGGATGCTTCAGGTCACTGCAGGCTAGGCCACCTCTTAGATGGCATGGTAACAGAGGTAACCACGGCAGCACCGTTGCTTTCTGAAGTGCTGCTCTTTCTGACAGCTCCCGCACCATTTTGTGTCCTAGTTTGTCATCCCTCCTTTCTGTTCTGGAAGGAAGGAAGTCGGGTGCTCTTTGTGCAACTGCTTTGTTTGCTTTTCTTTTCTTTTTCCTCTTCATTCGTTCACAGAGATGCCTTCATAGTGTTACGACGAGTTGGATGGATGGAGGATATACTTCAAGTTTTTCGCTTGCGCACATATATTCACACACATACCGGTACAAGTTGATGCAGGAGATCATGGAATGCTTTTGTTCTTCTATCTTCATTGATGCATTTGACCGTAAGGTGAATCCAGTGTACAGTTCATCACTGGACTAAGTGACATCTGTCTGTCACGCTGTCTGTCTCTATTGGATGAAGGGAGTGACAATCCTTTGGTTCTCCACTGGAGGGTCATAACTAGGGAGAGAGATTGACAATGAAACATGGACAATCATCATACAACAGTAAACTTGTCATGACTGAGGAGTCTTTTTTATATATATAGTTGCCTACTGTATTAGATAAATGCAATGGCTTGAGGCATACAGATATCCGGAACAATTTGACGTACCTTGGTGGATTTGCCAGGACTGTCGTGGTGCGCCTGGTGTACGACGTCATTGACGATCATCTTAGCGATCTTCCAGGCCATCTCCTCCTGGGCCTAAACACACATACACAAGTTACAATTCAATATGTTCATCATTCCTATTATTCATTAGTTCAAATAGATTCAACACAAGAGGAGCTTGTTTTGTTGGTTTACACACCTCATCTGAGTTGCCTTGAACAAGTTTCTTCATGGCTAGAGAGAGCATGGAACCTGTGAGAAGAGAGAGAAGAGTGAGTGAAGAATATGGCAATAGTCAGAGGATGAGCCTCTCATCTATTGTTCCTCTGAAAGATACTGGACATATGAGGTACATGAAAAATCACAGCACAGAGTTCTCTTAGAATGCGATCGATGCATTCGGAAGAAAAGTTGTTTTGTGATTAGAGCCATGAAATCTACTAAGAAAATGCATTCAACATATACAGGTTTAGTCCAGGACTTTTTATATGGATTTCCTCTGTTCTCAGAGAATGTTATCTTCTAAGAAATCCTAAATAATGTATTCATGTTATACTGTAGTCTTTTATAAGAACTAAAAGCACCTTGGGTTGTATTTGGGGTGCCTCACATATTTCAACCCACTTTCTGGTTGCGGTTAGGATGAGAATAGAAGACAATACCCACACCATGCATGCTTGAGTGACATGGCACTAAAATTATACAAGCAACAATGAACAGTAGAGAGAGTGTGGAGAAAAGGAAAGAGAAGAGAGAGGGAAAAGAGAGAGAAAATAGGAGAAGAGAAGAGAGAAAGAAAGATATAGATTGTCAATGTACATTTGTATTTGTCTGTTACCTTTGGATTTCTTCACATCCGGCTCTGGTTCGGCCTCCCTTATGAACTGTCCCAGCTCGTTCACTTTCCCAAACGTCATTCTTCTGAATAGAGAGGGGACATAGCCAATGATGTCATAGATATCAGATGTCTATGGAGACAGCACCCTGTTACTAGACTGGTCCCACATTCGTTTGTGCTGTACAGCCAACTCCTATAGTCATTGTCATTTGGTCCCAGCACAAACAGATCTGGGACGAGGCTAATCTCTTACTGCAACTAGGACACTACTGGGGCTGCCTAAGGCCACACAAACCCCATATATCAGCCTGTGTTTGGCCCATTAGACTGCTATAATGTAATGGGGATAACCTACAAATCTGCTGTCACACTGAGGACCGCATGGTGGAGTCTTTGAAAATATGCTTTTTAACATCACATATTCATTTTACATTTTAGTCATTTAGCAGACACTCTTATCCAGAGCGACTTACAGTTAGTGAGTGCATACATTTTTTCATACTGGCCCCCCATGGGAAACGAACCCACAACCCTGGCGTTGCAAGCGCCATGCTCTACCAACTGAGCTACACGGGGCCATATTCATTTAAAACATGTTTGTATTTGGAGTGGTTTAGTCACACATCAGTGGCCATTACACTGGCTTACTTAGCTAGCATCAAATAACCCTTTTGGGAATATTACAGTAGTAAAATCAGGACAGTTCAGGGGTAGCAATGGGGGAAATTTAGCACCATTATAAAACTATTTTCACAAATTTAATCCAGTAGAGAAACATTTTTTTAAAAAAAAACAAAATTAAATACTTGAAATAGTAAATGTTGTTTACAGACGACAGTACTTACAGAGTGCTGAGAATATATACAAATATACAGCTGTGGAAAAAATTAAGAGACCACTGCAAATTTTTCTTAAATCAGCATCTCTACATGTATGACAGCCATTCCATTCCAGTGTCTGTTGAATTCCAACACAGCAACACCTCTTTCTACTAAATTTGGTGATCACATGAACCAAATCTTATTTAACGAGGAAAAGTATAAAAGCCACTGCTGTGGTCATCACTATCCTCTTGCAATAGGACCAGCTGGATGGCAAAAACAGTGGTAATAGTACCTCAAAAGTAATATTAATCCAAAAATAACTATTGACCATGCCAAAAGAGTTGAAAAGGAAAGTTTTGAGTGAGGAAAAGGGTTCAATTCTGGCTTTACTGGCAGAGGGATACAGTGAGCGTCAGGTTGCTTCCATCCTTAAAATTTCAAAGACGGCAGTTCATAAGAACAAGGTCAAGCAGACATTGGGGACAACAAAGCTACAGACCGGCAGAGGGCGAAAACGACTCTCTACTGACCGGGATGACCGCCAACTCATTCGAATGTCACTCAACAACCGTAGGATGACATCAAGTGACCTACAAAAAGAATGGCAAACGGCAGCTGGGGTGAAGTGCACAGCGAGGACGGTTCGAAACAGGCTCCTAGGGGCAGGGCCGAAGTCGTGCAAAGCTAGAAAAAAGCCCTAAATCAATGAGAAGCAAAGAAGAGCCAGGCTGAGGTTTGCAAAATAATATAAATAAATAATATGCCATTTAGCAGACGCTTTTATCCAAAGCGACTTACAGTCATGCGTGCATACATTTTTGTGTATGGGTGGTCCCGGGGATCGAACCCACTACCTTGGCGTTACAAGCGCCATGCTCTACCAGCTGAGCTACAGAGGACCAAAAGACCATAAGGATTGGACCGTAGAGGACTGGAGTAAGGTCATCTTCTCTGATGAGTCCAATTTTCAGCTTTGCCCAACTCCTTGTCGTCTAATGGTTAGACGGAGACCTGGAGAGGCCTACAAGCCACAGTGTCTCGCACCCACTGTGAAATTTGGTGGAGGATCGGTGATGATCTGGGGGTGCTTCAGCAAGGCTGGAATCGGGCAGATTTGTCTTTGTGAAGGACGCACGAATCAAGCCATGTACAAGGTTGTCCTGGAAGAAAACTTGCTTCCTTTTGCTCTGACACTGTTCCCCAACTCTGAGGACTGGTTTTTCCACCAGGACAATGCGCCATGCCACACAGCCAGGTCAATCAAGGTGTGGATGGAGGACCACCAGATCAAGACCCTGTCATGGCCAGCCCAATCTCCAGACCTGAACCTCATTGAAAACTACTGGAATGTGATCAAGAGGAAAATGGATGGTCACAAGCCATCAAACAAAGCCGAGCTGCTTGAATTTTTTGCGCCAGGAGTGGCATAAAGTCACCCAACATCAATGTGAAAGACTGGCATGCCAAGACGCATGAAAGCTGTGATTGAAAATCAGGGTTATTCCACCAAATATTGATTTCTGAACTCTTCCTAAGTTAAAACATTACTATTGTGTTGTTTAAAAATGAACATGAACTTATTTTCTTTGCATTATTCGAGGTCTGACAACACTGCATCTTTTTTGTTATTTTGACCAGTTGTCATTTTCTGCAAATAAATGCTCTAAATGACAATATTTTTATTTGGAATTTGGGAGAAATGTTGTCAGTAGTTTATAGAATAAAACAAAAAAATTATTTTTACCCAAACACATACCTATAAATAGTAAAACCAGAGAAACTGATAATTTTGCAGTGGTCTCTTAATTTTTTGCGCAGCTGTATATATCTGAGAAGGCCAGAGGAGGTTATGCAGACTCACCCAGCATAGGGGCGCTGGTACAGGGACTCTGGGTCCAAACTGGCTATGTCCACCGTTATCGCCTCGTCAAAGTTTTTCAAGATTTTCACTGCTGCCGCCTTTTTGGTAGCTTGCTGTAATGAGAAAAAATATAATACTTTGCACAGTTAGAAGAACTAGAGGGAGTAATATTCCACGTATTAAGCTATTTACTCTAAGTTCCTTATCTCCTAAACGGTTCAGGAGGGAAAACGGACCACAGACAAAGGTACAAGTGCTAATGCTGTTGAACATTCATTCATTCGAGTGCACGTAGACAAACTTTTCTAAAGGTCTCATGAAATGAGGAAAATGTCAGTCGATGTAAAGCGAAAGTTCAGGGTGTGAGCAGGTCAGGTGTGGGGTTATCTACCTGGGCTTGAGACCCCTCGGTAGCATTGGTGCAGCGGTCACCATCCGGGGCCACGCCTTGACCGGGAGCGCTGGCCAGCACAAACTCATCCGCTCGGACAGAGTTGATAAGGTCACTCAGATACTTGTAGTAAAGGTTACTCGACAGGAAGCCTGGCATGTAGACCTGAGGGCAGAAAAATGACATGAACTTCACATTAGCAAAGTTGAACTTAAAAATGCCAGAGGGTCATGCTTTTCAGTCATGAAGGACTTCCGTTTTCTTCAGAGCATGGCAAAGTGTTTCAGCATCATCCCTAGCCTTTGGCAACAACATGGTAACTCAGAGCCAAATCTTTATATATTTATTGCTCTGGTACCACTATCTTCAATAACCCCAAAGGCCTGTCACTGGTAATCTAAACCTCATGGTTCAATCGAATGTTGTTGTTTTTAAAGCTGATTTCCTAGTGATTTTACAGTTGTGAGTTTGCAGAGTGACCCCTATGTGTGTCCCGTACCAACAAATGTATTTGACCCAGGTTAAGAGCGTTGGGCCAGTAACTGAAAGGTCTCTGGTTTGAATCCCAGAACCGACTAGGTGAAAAATATGTCTGTGCCCTTGAGCAAGGCACTTAACTCTAATTGCTCCTGTAAGTCTCTCTGGATAAGAATATCAGCTAAATTATGATTTTTTTAAAGTACAATGTTACTGTGTGACTTTCAACCCCTCACCTTTTCCATGGTGGTCCAGGCCTGTCTGAGAGGAGTGGTGAAGCAGTCTGGTAGAGGCCCTCCCTCCCGGCAGATATTAGACTCTATCTCCATCCGCACAGAGTCATCGAAACCCAGAGGGTTGGTGGCTTGGAGTGAGAAATACCTGGGGAGGAAACAGATCCCACCATTATTAAACTGGTGTCCAAATAAACATTCCATACTGAGTAATGCTGAGGTGTTTAGGCAAAGATATTGTGAAGGCAAATATATTTCAAAGACAAATATAGTGTAAAGGCAAAGATGGTGTGAAAGCAAAGATATTGTTAAGACAAATACACTCAGTTTATTAGGTACACCCATCTAGTACCGGGTCGGACCCCTTTTGCCTCCAGAACAGCCTGAATTCTCCGGGGAATGGATTCTACAATGTGTCGCAAATGTTCCACAGGGATGTTGGTCCATGCTGATGCAATGGCATTACACAGTTGCTGCAGATTGGACGGCGGAACAGCCCATTCCATATCATCCCAAAGACGCTCAATTGCAGTGGTCACCCACCTTTTCTGAGTCAAGATCACTTTCTGAGTCAAAATGCAAGGAAAGATTATTTTTCAACAGGACTTAATATTTTATAAGCCTATGCAACATTAATCAATTGAAAACAGTTCTGTAGCAGTAAGGTTTGTGCAGTAGGCTATAGGCCCAATACATTATCACTGCATATTGACTAAGCTTGAATTGCCCTGCCAATGTTGTTCTTCTCAGACCATTTTGAAATTATATTTACACATTTAAATATATGATCACACTGGTAACAGATCATTTGTTGTATTACTTGTGAGGCACAACTGAGTGAGCTTAATCTTTTTTATTTTTTTACTGACTGATGGCCTGCATCTGATGGTCAGTCTGAGGGAGGGAGCAGCGGTGAGGCTGCCTCTTACCCGACTCACCGTACCTCCTCTCAGCTGAGAAAAGGGGACACAGTCTTCCAGCTGATGGCGAAACTCAAGTCGCACTGCATTATTTCTGCTTCATGTACCAATTAATGTTGTTACTCCTATGATCAGAGAAAGTGAAACACGGTGATCTGAGCTCTCATTGGCCAGCGGTAGGCCTATAGGTGCACTTGATTTGCTCTCTGAGCCTGCTGGGTAGGTGGAGTTCTACATTCAGACACCTGAAATGGTTCAAAATGGGAACACTTTGCCTTCCTGCCGCTAGGGCTGTTAAATCAAGTGCACCTACCGCCAACAGCGCAAAACAAATAAAAACAAAATAGGAACGCAAGGGTTTATCGTTGGGTTTTTACCAACATTTTGGGTGATCGACTAGGAATGCCTTGGAGACCACTGCTCCAATGGGTTTGGTCAGCAACAATGTTCAGATACGCAGTGGTGTTCAATCGTTGCTCAATTGGTCTCAAGGGACCTAACGTGTGCCAGGAAAACATTCCCCACACCAGTACACCACCGCCACCAGACTGTACCGTTGACACCAGGCAGGATGGGTCCATGGACTCATGCTGCTTACGCCAAATCCTGACTCTGCCATCAGCATGACGCAACAGGAACCGTGATTCATCGGACCAGGCAATGTTTTTCCACTCCTCAATTGTCCAGTGTTGGTGATCACCACTGTTGTACTGCGCCGTTATTTGTCTGTTTGTAGCCTGCCTGTTAGCTTGCACGATTCTTTCCATTCTCCTTCAACCTCTCTCATCAACGAGCTGTTTTCGCACACAGGACTGGCGCTGACTGGATGTTTTTTGTTTGTCACACCATCTTCGGTAAACCCTAGACACTGTCGTGCGTGAAAAGCCCAGGAGGGCGGACGTTTCTGAGATACTGAACCTGGCGCGCCTGGCCCCGACGATCATACCACGCTCAAAGTCGCTTAGGTCACTTGTTTTGCCCATTCTAATGTTCAATCAAACAGTAACTGAATGCCTCGATGTCTGTCTGCCTGCTTTATATAGCAAACCACGGCCACGTGATTCACTGTCTGTAGGAGCAAACAATTTTTGTGAACGGGGTACCTAAAAAACTGGCCACAGTGTATATTATAAAGAAACCGATGTCTTACTTGTCATAGAGGATCATGGCATCATTCTGGGCCTCCTGACCGTCGTACTGGCCAGCCATAGCAGCCAGCTGGTCCTGAAAGTTGTCTGCTGCCAGCCAGAACTGCAGGACATTCACAGCTTCCTCCTTCTCCATGTACTGGGGAGACACACAGACAGACACCATATTGCTTTATCACCAATGACACTTCTATTAACACCTACCATTTGACACTAAAGTAAAATAGAATAGAATAGAGAATAATAGAATATAAACAAATAGAATAGAAACACCAGTAGCACTAATAGCAATAACACCAATGAATAAAACAGCAATGAATATTAATGAACTTGACAACATACTGTGGTTGTGTTTAAACAACATCAATTGTGGGGTCCAGCTGTTGCTCTCACCTCAGAAAAGTAGAATAGGGCCGACTCACAGAACAAGATGTCTGCCAGAAACACCGAGCCACTGGTCAACACTTCGATCTGGTACTTACAGAAATGATGGCTGCGCAAGAATTCACTAAAGTGCCTGGGAAATATAAATTATATGTGATTACATTTACATTTATGATATAAGAGTGGATTGGTGTATAAGAGAACAGTGGTTACACTATAATCATAGGAGACAAATAATGATCCTTACAGATGAGAAATGGTCAATCTTTCAATGGATACTAGAACATGAAGACTGGAAAATCTAAAACGTACTGTTGTTCCATGATGGAGAAGACGACTGACTGTGCAATGGCAAAGCAGTTTGGGTCCACCATTCCATCCTCGCCACAGATTTTAGCTGGCAAAGTGGAGAAAGGGACAAAAACAGTCACAATCACACAACAGATTATCAATTCATCCACAAAATAGTTCTCCTGAAACGTAGTTAAATATACTTCACAGACGAGGATTAGGGCTGATTTGATCTTTAACATTGGTTGCAACATTCCTACTAGGTCTAACATTCATAGGAATGCATACAGTACTCATACAGTTCTGATAAAATACTCATACAGTACACACAGAGACTGCACTGTCTTACAGTCAAAGTCAATACTAATGGAAAACAGGTGGCGGTACTAATTTCTTACCGACTATGTCGTTTCTGATCTGTTCTGTGATGGGGATGGGCCTAGCAGCGTCTGGAGAGATGTACTTGGTGAAGATGTTCACTGCATCTCTCTCGATACCTACAACACACAGGAGAAGATGGTTAACGGTCTGTCACAGGTGTCATAAACTGTGTACAACTCAGATATTGTTACCTCAAATGTGCAATTAAAACAAATTGATGTTGTTATTCTCACAGCCAGTTGTTTCACATGGTGGAGATAAGAACAAATATAGCTAATATACTAGCCTTTTCTAGTCAGGGGGTTATGCACTCATAATAGTAAGGTAAACATATAGATAAATTATGGTACAGACATTATGGCCCAACACAAACACACAAACACACAAATTATGGCCCAACTCACAAAAAGGATTGTGAGAACAGCCATAGCATCTCTCTGTAACATTCACCACCAGCCGGCTCTGAGAGACTCCAGGCTACTTACTTAACCATTATTTGTACAGGTAAATTAAGAGCAGATTTTTATTTACATATGTATTTATGAAGACCAGTCAAACATACTCTTCATGAGCTTGTCTGAGAGCTCCTTGAGGGCGTGGGTGGACTGCAGCTTGAAGGGGGTCCCTGTCCTGGAGTGCTGCCTGGTGGGGGTGTCTTCCCTGCTGGGGGTGCCTGGCCTCTGATCCACTATAGAGCTAAAGGAGTCCCTGTGGACGAGCTGCGCAGTGGGGCCTTCACTACTGTTACTGTTAATGTCCTGGGGGCTGGGTGTAAGGGGGCGGGAGGAGGGGGGCATGGGGACAGAGGGTGGGTCCATGTCTGGGGTGGAGGAGGGGTCGGGGGAGACAGGGGTGGAGGCAGGCTCGGCCAGGGAGCTGTGTTTGACGGAGTTGAGACTGTTGGCCCGGACCCGGGACCAGCTGGTGGAGCGGAAGCTCTCTGCCTCCAGCCAAAAGCGGACCAGGTGGTCGGACCCACGGGCCTCCTGGAACTGGATGTAGTAGGGCATGGCCACGTTGTCCCGCAGGATCTGGTCCACCGTCTTAGACAGGCGTGAACGCGTCTCAGAGGCCAGGTAGTTCACACTAGAGTGCCCTGAAACACACCACAACACTGAATAAAACCACTATACAACCATACAGTATGATCACACTGGACCGTTCTGAAACACACAATGAACAAATCAATCAAACCATCAATCGATCAAATGTCTTTATAAAGCCCTTTTAACATCATCCATTCTTACAAAGTCTAACCCAGCCTAAACAGACAGCGGACCACAGCATACTGAATGAAACCACTGTAAAACCATACACGATCATCCATAAAAAAATATACTTATCAAAAAATCTATCTAAAACCTATTCAACTATGGCACAGTTCACAGATCATATGATCAGGGAGGCCATGTGAATGTATGACTGAAGCCTGGCTGGAGGCCTCCATTACATAATGGACTAGAGTAGGAGCACTAAACAGTGAGCTGGTGTTTTGTGTGCTCCTAGTATCAGCTCCAGAGAGTGGGCAGGCTGCCACGTGTGACTGTTAACCAGCAGCTCAGCTCTCCCTCCCTCCCGCCCCTCCTCCTCCTCTCTCCCTCCCGCCCGCCCATCCTCTCTCCCTATCCTTCCCTCCCTTTCTCTCTCCCTTGCTCCTGTACAAGAGTTCACACCCTCAGAGTACTGTCTCGGGTCCAGTCAGTGTAGTACAGTATAGTCACCCTACCCTACTGCATTCCAAGGCCAGGGCTCAATGCTGCACCACTGGTTCAACCACCCCCTCCCTCTGACTCACCGTCACTGGTAACTAAATGACCTGTCCCAGCAGGTGCTGTCACTCAGCACTATCATAAACATTAATGGTATAGCTGGCTGCTGTGGCACTATAAAACTAGTGCCTGATATCTACCCACTTATGAAATGCTTGATTTAAATAGCCATCATCTTCAGAGGAAAGAAGATTTAGGGAGTTCTTATGTATCATAATCAAATCAAATTGTATTTGTCACATGCACTGAATACAACAAGTGTTGACTTTACAGTGAAACGCTTACTTACAAGCCCTTTCCCAACAATGCAGTTAAAAATTAAGAAAATTAGACAAATGGATAAAAATAAAATAGTAACACAATAAAATAACAATGACGAGGCTATATACAGGCTATATACAAGGAGTACCAGTACCGAGTCAGCGTACTGGGATATGAGGTAGTTGGGGTGATTGACTGAGGTAATATGTACATGTAGGTTTGGTTAGGTTAGGTGATTGATTGAAGTACTATGTACATGTAGGTAAGGGGTGAAAAGCAGAAAGTTTGGGTAGCCATTTAATTAACTTAGGGCCCAGCAAACTTCTCTGTACAGGGTTTTTTCTGGATAAAAAGGGGGCTTAGGTGGTGGGCATGGCAGGGGACGTGACAGAGGGCATGGCAATGAGCGTGGTCGGCCCTACGGGGTGGATACATTTTAGAATTTTAAAATCTTTGAGGCCCCCATCTTGGTGATGTAGTGAAATGTTAGCATTTTTAAAGGGATACTTTGGGATTTTGGCAATGAGGCCCTTCATCTACTTCCCAAAAGTCAGATGAACTAGTGGATACCATTTTTATGTCTCTGTAATCCTTCTACCCCCCCCCCCCCCCCCCCCCACCCCACCCCCACAAAAAAAAATATATATATATATATATAATAACAAAAAAAGGAACATTAATAAAATAAAGATTTAAAAAACACTAAAATAAAAACAAAACAAAAAACCCTATATATATATATATATATATATATATATATATATATATATATATAAAACAAATGAAAATTACAAATATACCTTCAAAATTAAAATGTTGGTTGTCCCACTGGCTATCATAAGGTGAATGCACCAATTTGTAAGTCGCTCTGGATAAAATAAATAAATAAATAAATTGGTCATTTAGCAGACGCTCTTATCCAGAGCGACTTACAGGAGCAATTTAGGGTTAAGTGCCTTACTCAAGGGCACATCGACAGATTTTTCACCTGGTCGGCTCGGGGATTAGAACCAGCGACCTTTCGGTTACTGGCACAACGCTCTTGCCCACTAAGCCACCTGCCGCCCACGTAAATGTAAATGTAATTTGTAGGTCTCTGTGTCCAGTATGAAGAAAGTTAAGAGGTAGTTTTGCGAGCCAATGCTAACTAGCGTTAGCACAATGACTGGAAGTCTATGGGTATCTGTAGATACCCATATACTTCCAGTCATTGCACTAATTCAAAAAATGTGTAGCCAATAATTTATTTTTCAGTTTTAAAGAGTTTCCTGCAATTCTATGCATTTTGCCTTGGCTTCTTTTGCTCTAACATAATTCAATTAATACTACTAAATTAATTGTTTTGGGAATTTTTTATTCTCCCTGACTGTCTAGCTTTTATTTTGGCGATTGTTAGTTCTTAAAGATTATAATATTAAAACATTTATAGGTCAATTATCTTTTCTACATACTTTATATTTGGTCTTAGTCGTTTAAGTTCACACTAAAGTGTTTTTCCATCCCGAAAATGTGTTTACAATTAATTTTTTACACTGTTTGGACTTAGGTGACGTGAAAAAACGCTTTGGCGGCCAGCCCAAGGATTACAACGGCATAAAAATCCCTGCAGTATGATGCATGCGTTATAAGGAGTTTTCCTGATCAGGTCATGTGGTCCCTCAGGAAAAACTTGGGGCCCTAATTATGAGTCATACTAAAAAGCTTTGCTGGTAGTGTGCTGGTTGGTCAAAAGGCTAACTCATGCAGGAAGTTGGAGCGAGTGCGTCGCAGGATTAGCATTCAACCAATCGCTTGTAGAAAGGCCAGGCCCGTTGGTAGTTAAACCCATTCCACCAGCACCATGTCCACCAGCTACTATTATCACATTGTATCAACTCGCTGAAGCATGGGCACACACAATCCAGTCAAAAGGAGAGAACTTAAAAGAGAAAGCGCTCATCCATTCAAATCACTCTAAATAACCTTTTTTTGTTACCGATCTAGGATACGTTTTGCCTTTTAAATTATAATAAATAAGAGGGGTCACCTAATCCTAGATCAGCACTCCTACTCTGAATACATTCCCTGAAAACTATGAGACAAATCAGAAGAATACTGGAGGCACATACCCAGATCCCCAAAGTGTGCAGCCTCCATGTGGCTGGGCTGTTTCTTGAGGATGGCCGTGCGTCCGCGGGCGAAGGAGTCCATGTTTGCAGAGATGGCGTTGATGGCCACATGGCTGGGCCCCGCCGCCTCCAGGATGGCATGGTGGTTACGGAGGCTAAGGGAGGGGGAGTGGGGGCTTGCTGGGGCTACCAGGGCTGGGGTTACAGGGGAGGAGGAGGGTGGAAACATAGGTCTCTTATTTCCTTTAAATCAATACAGAATGTAAGATTTCTAGATGACAGAAACCCAAAACATCCACAAAGTATGTTATGTACGAGGTTATGGGTTCTGAAAAAAGGCCTACTTCTTTAACTGAATGGTGTAGTGATCTAGTACATGAATGTGCCCAGTTAGAGCTCAGAGGGTGCTGCGACATTTTTTTTACGCTGGGGTGTGGGAGTGCGAGACAGTGTGCTCTGTGTAAATGTTAACTTATCACTTTGAGCCTGTCTGAGAACATAAAATACTTCACTGGCATCTCTCTAAAAACTCATAAACCCAATAATTTAAAGTCTGAACTTTGGATATAATTAGGCCTACTACCTGATATGTGTGTTATTACCTAAATCAATACATTCTCTCTCAGTACATTTACAGAGACAAATATAAACAGCTACAAAAAGGGAAAGCTCAGAGGGAAATACCGCTACCCTCAAAAAGGTGTGCGTGAACATAACACTTCAACTAAACACTTGACTGCTTTCAAAGAACTTCAAACAAGGACCTTCCTTCCTCTCTATTTTCAGGGCTGCTAAAAAATGAAACATCAGATGGCAGCAGCACAGCATTGCAATTCATCATTTCAGAGAAGTGGTAGTACGGTACCCACCTCTATTGACTTTAGCATCAACTGGTTGCTCGGGTTCCTTGCCTTTTGCTATGGGTCAAAAAGGAATTACATAGCATTGTAATTAGAGCAGGCTTTAACATTTGATTCACAATGCAGGGGGAGATCAGTGACAGGAATACTGTGCCTGAGGTTCATTGTAGGGTAAAGCAATAGGGATGATGACGATGATGATGCAGTGTCACTGAAAAGGCAGAAACTTAAAGGGATACTTCGGGATTTTGGCAACAAGAGTCAGATGAACTCATGGATATCATTTTTATGTCTCTGCGTGCAGTTTGAAGGAAGTTGCTAACTAGCAGATACCCATAGACCTCCAGTCATTGCAGCAGATACCCATAGACTTCCAGTCATTGTGCTAACGCTAGTTAGCATTGGCTTGCCAAACTAACTCTAACTTCCTTTATACTGGACAGAGACCTACAAATGGTATCCATGAGTTCATCTGACTCTGGGGAAGTAGATAAAGGGCCTCATTGCCAAAATCCATAAGTATCCCTTTAACTATACAGTTATATTATGGCCTAGGCCTGGTCGGGAAACAGATATGCCTGTGACAGTGGGATAACCTTGTCTGTTAAGCAAACAAATAATTATAACTATTTTCCTCACTGTCATGCACAGATAAGATAAGCAGAGAGGAGCAAACTACTTGTGTGAGGCTCCTGATAGGAATAGAACAGAGTTATTCTTCACATTGAAGCATGGCTGCCATCTTACAAGGTGTGTTTATTGACTACAGTGGCCTTGGTCTATCAGCTCGAATGTCACTTCCTTGTCATGTTGTTACTGCAAAGAACCCTCATCACCATAGTGAACCGTCTTGACCCAAAGTCCTGTTTTTCTACACATTTCAGTCCTCCTTTATTACATAAAGTAACAGAATATGCCTGGTTACAATAGTGTGGTGAAAGTGAACCTTTCGCGCATGACATAAATAGTTTTTCTGAGGCGCTTTCAGCGTTCAGTGGAGGAAGGATGGAAGGCTCTTTTTCATTACAGAGGCATCAGATGGTTAGCACATGGTTATGTCTACCCACCTCAAAGAGCTTTATAATTTAATTTGGTATATAAATAGGTCTCCGCATATGACTGATTGTTATCATCATAATTTCATATTATCCATGGTTTGCACTGTAGGCCAAATACTTTACAGTAGCTGTCAAGAAAACTGTGTCACGTGTGTGTTTTACTAGCCCCAGGAATGGAGGTCTATAGTTTGGGCTAGTGATTTACATGCAATAATTTTTGCTTGAATGTCTTCTGACCACAATTCCAAGGTAAATACTGAGTTAGCCTAGAGCAATTGTCACCAACCTTTTCGGAGTCAAAAAATCACTGAGTCAAAATGCAAGCAGAGATCTACCACTCAGATAAAACATTTTTTACATGACTTAAAAAACATAAGCCTATGCAACATTAACCAATTGAAAACAGTTCTGTAACAATGAGGTTTGTGCAGTAGGCTATAGGCCCAATACATTATCACTGCATATTGGCTAAGCTTGAATTTTCCTGCCAATGTTGTTCTTCTCAGACCATTCTGAAATGATATTTTAAAAAATTTGGTATACGATCACACTGGTAATAGATCATTTATTGTATTACTTGTGAGGCACAGCTGAGTAAGCTTAATCATTTCTCTTCTTTCCTTTTTTACTGGACTGATAGCCTGCATCTGATGGTCAGTCTGAGGGGAGGGAGGGAGCAGAGGTCACCCGACTCACCAATTCATATTTTTACTCCTATGATCAGAGAAAGTGCATTATTCCTCGATATTAAAAAAGACAAGCCGCAAATAATAACAAAGGAAGCTTATCGAAACACGCGCATTTTATGGCTTATAAAACTGTTGAACAAAGACAGTGCTGAATAAAAACTTAAACATGAACTTACTCATAAAAACAGCAGTTCTTTGCTGTATTCGTGGAGTCTCTAGTCATGGTTTTAAAAGTTTTGAAATCTCACATTATCAACTTTTATTTGTGTTCGAGGCTTCTAGTCTTTGGTGCGAGGAAACTGTGCAGACACCGTGATCTGAGCTATCTGATTGGCCAGCGGTAGGCCTACGGTTGCACTTGATTTGCTCTCAGGGCCTGCCGGGTAGGCGGAGTTCTACCTTCAGACTCATGAAATGGTTCAAAATGGGAACACTTTGGCTTGCCGGCGCTAGGGCTGCTGAATCAACCCACAACGAGGCTTTATCGTTGGGTTTTTTACAGAAATGTTTGGTAATCGACTAGGAATGGCTTGGAGATCGACCGGTTGGTGACCACTGCCATAGAGCCATTTAACTCAACCCTAAGCCTACTTGTACTTGCATGGGGAGCTATCCATCCAACCACCATGGCATAGCTGATTGGCATGGAAGACAGCCAGTGACCTAAACTAAATAAACATTACCGTGACATTATTAGGAAATCACCAAATGCAAGGCTTTGAGGTTCGTTAATTATTATCTAGGTAATAACCAACCTAATCTGCATTCTCCAATAATGAATTGCGATCGATCAGGGTCAGGGATACTAGCTAGCTGAGTCTAAGCACCACAGCATCAGCTAGCTAACGTTAGCTACTTAACGTTAGCAGTAGCAAGAACTATTGAGCAGGAAAGCTGCATTACCTACATCTTGTGGCTGCCAGTTTTATATCTTAAGATTTGAAACAGCTAACTACAGAAACAATTTGGTATTTGCTATATTATTCAGCGGATATTTTGTCGGCGTGAACTTCACACAGACATGTCAAGCGCATTCTCATCTCAGTCATTACTAGCCATCGCACATTCCTCAACCTCTCCCGCGAGCCTCTTCTTTACGCCCTTTGGCTCGTGCTAGCCGGCTCGGCTATCACACTTCCTTACCTTTCCTCCGGAAAAACGACATGACGATTTTCACGCTCTGAATGTATCCTCAGCTCAGTGACAACATCCCGTGGATTCCTGAGTCCCTTCATTCATATGCGTCGATTCTTGACGACGGTAAATGGGTTTATTTACGCCCGAGGGGAATGGGCTGTCAAATCCAAAACTTACACCTTCTGCGACCAGTGGCCATATTGTCAATATTGTCTCACTTCCGGAGATGATGATGGGGCAGCATTGTGGGAAACGTGCATTATTTGTTAGTGACAGTAGAGGGCAGTATCCACAAGGGGGATATTTTACTGGTGAACAAAATACCAGGGGTGTAATCATTAGTCCAAAACCTAGTCATTCGTCCAATACGACAGTTTTTATTGGACAAATTCAGGTATGTCCCTCCCAGTTTCGTTCGGTTTGCTTCCGTTTAAGAAAAGTTTTGCAACCGAATCGGCGTAATGAATACGCCCCAGGGGTGTAATCGTTACTCCAAACAGTTAACGAAAACTAGCGTTTCTATTGGACAGGTTCAGCAAACAGGGTGGGTTGCAACTGTTTGGAGTAATGATTACACGCCTCTGTGAAAGGAAATAGAAGCAGTGTTGCCAACTTAGCGACTTTGTCTTTTGGAGACTCTGACGTGAAGCACGTACCGTTCTTACTCTTCTCAACGAGCAGCAGGTGCTACCGTGGGCCCCACACCCTTCCCAAAGCACTCACAGGCGGATCAGTCACTCCCAGCTGCAGTCAGAGCAGGAGATGTTCACCCCTCCTCGTCCAAATGAATCGCGCATGCGGGAAGCCGCCGCTGGCTGATCAGGGCGGGATGTAAATGTAAAATGTTCTTTGTCTAAAATAAATCACTGCACAAAAATATATCACTGCATTTGACTCACACAGCCTCAGTCACTTACTCACCTCGTCCACTGTGTGTGAGCCTCTCTGTGACATAAGCTAAACATCTAGCTGGCTAGCTCATCATGTCTCAGTCTAAACTGTACACTCAAAAACAGAAAGGAGTGGGAATCAAACCCTGAATTCAAAGGCTGGTTGAAGCCGTTTATTGGAGATGATACACAGGCATACTGCCTGTATTGTAAGGCTGATTTCTACGCCAAACTTAGTGATGTAAAAAAACACATGACAACTCAAAAACATACTCAAAAGGCAAAGCCTTATAACAGTTCCACCCAAAACAAGCTGCCCTTTATGGTTAAAAAAATTGACTCTGCAAATAGGCTGAGGCCACCATGGCATTAGCTATCGCTGAACACTGTTCCATGCTGGCATCTGATCACATTGGAGAAGCATGTAGAGCTGCTTTCTCAGACTCCACTGCTGCTACCCACTTCAAAATGCACAGGACAAAGTGCACAGAAATCATTAATGGTGTTCTAGCACCATACTTTCTGAAAAAGTTGGTTGCAGATGTGGGTGACCAGTGTTTCAGCCTCCTCCTCGATGAGTCCACAGATGTAAGTGTTTCTAAGTACCTGGGGGTTGTGATAAGGTACTTTAGTGACACCAAGCAGACAATTGTATCAATATTTCTGGGGCTTGTTGAGTTGGAGGAGATGCCAAATATATAGCCTGTGCTGTTGTGGCTTTCCTCGAGAAGTGTTGTCTTAAAAAAGAGAAACTCCTGGGGATATGGACTGACAATGCCTCTGTTATGACGGGGATTAACAATGGTGTCCATAAAGTGCTGAAGGAGGAGTATGGCCTCAAAGATCTGGTTCTTATTCGCTGTGTGTGCGACTCTCTGCAGCTTGCTGTAAGTCATTCTTCCAATGACACCATCCCCCGTAGTGTGGAGTACTTGGTACGAGAGACTTATAACTGGTTTTCAGTGTCTCCAAAGCGCAGGGAGGCCTACAAGGCCATATATGAGACTATCAACTGTTTACAGATAACCAAGGTGTGTGCCACACATTGGCTCTCCATTGAACCCACGGTTTCACGCATTTTGGACCAGTGGGAGGAGCTTAGGCTGCATTTCGCAGTCACCAAGTCCAGTGAACACTGTTACATGGCTGAGGTTTTATACTCCATGTGCAGTGATCCTCAAAACATATTGTATCTGACTTTTTGAAGTCAGTACTGGGTGAGGTACAGTTGGCCATCAAGGCTTTTGAGGGAGAGCAAGTAGATCCTCTTAAGCTACTTGACAGCTTGGTTAGCCTGATCAAGTCTGTGAGCAGCAGGGTGCTGAATCCACTGGCAAATGTTGATGTACTCAAAGGGCCAATAGATGGATACATCAGTCCCAAACCGTTCCTTGGTTACCTTTTTGAGTCAAAGGCAGCTGAGCTCCACCTTGCGCCTGAGGATGAAAACAATGTCCGAAAGCGGTGTGTAGCCTTCACCATCTCCCTCACTAATGAGTTGAGGGTGAGACTGCCGGACAACATCGAAGCATTGCAGTACATGTCAGTTTTCAATGTGGAGGAAACTCTAAAGCACAATAAGAGCCCCGGAGAAATATAAAAAATAGCCAAGCTCCTTGGCTACTCCCCTGCAGAGATAGACAAGATTGTCCAGCAATGGCGTGCCATCCATCTTAGTAAATGGAATGAGACAAAAAAACACACTGATTTGGAAGTTCAGGGATGCAGCTGATATCAACCCCTTTCAAGAACTTGCCATGGCTGCTGTGTCTGTGTTGTCCTTGCCACACTCGAATGCTGAAGTCGAGAGAGTATTCAGCCAGATGAGTGTGGTAAAAAGCAAACTTAGAAATCGGATGTCCTTGCAGACCCTTAACTCCATCCTGTACATTCGATATGGACTGAAGCTGTCTGGTGAGGCTTGCTATGAGCACCAGCTGCCTAATAATTCTTTGCAGCTTTTTGGCACATCAGCTACTTACTAATTTAAGTCAGCTTCCTCAGTTGCTGAACCTGCCATAGAGAGCCTTGACCAAAATGACGATGACCCACTCTTTCTGTGAGCCAGCACAGCCTGTGTGTGTGTGGAGGGGGGTCTGAAAAAACCCAACAATGAACCTGAATTAGGGCCAGACTAGTTACCATCATTTTCTCACATTGCCATTGACAGTTTTTTCTATTGTCTCTTTTTGGTCCATTTAGATTGTTAATGTAGATTGTATACAAAAAAAGGTTTAAAATGTTATGATTAAAAATGTTAATGTGTTACTGTGACTTGTTGTAGGCTCCTAAGTGGACCATAAGGCTAAAAACCAAACCAAACTTAAAAATAAAAAAAATAAAAAAAAATAAGTAACTCTGCCAGTGTCTCTTTTGGGTCACTTTTGCCAGTCCCAAGCCCGGATAAAGGAGGAGGGTTGGAATTGTGACATAAGAAAACAAACAAGAATCGACAGAAGAAAGTTCATTTGTAGTTCTAAACATATTTAGTTTTTTTTTTACTCACTTTTTGTCTCTCCTTCGACGTTATTCCTCTCTCCTACAGTGTCCATCACAATTACATGCACATGGCCAATTATGCAAATTAGGTGATGACGTCATGTAGCGACTTAGGACAGCCAATAGCTACTTTCCTTACTGAGGAGTTGGCAACACTGAATAGAAGGGACCACTGCACTACCTAGCTCTCCAACGTGCACGAGGAGCGAACTGAAGTGAAGAGGATATTCAGCAACTCTTGGATAACAGTGGATGTTGATAATAATAGTAAAACCGACGCAATTCAGCCCTTCATCAGGGTTTTACAGAAATAAAAAAAGAATTAGACTTTTAAACATTTGAAAATGGCCTCATGGGTTCAGGGACCAATCACAATTGGAATACAAAACATTGTGCTTGGTTAAAGGGGCAATCAGCAGTTGCTACATACATTTTTGGAATTATAATATGTAGGCTACCCATTGATTCTTGAAGAATATAACCTATAAATGCCTCATGAGCTTAGTTCAACTGTAGTACCCCATCAGAACCAAAACAATAAACTCAAATCAATCAAATCACATTTTATTTGTCACATGCTTTGTAAACAACAGGTGTAGACTAACAGTGAAATGATTACTTACGGGCCCTTCCCAACAAGGCTAAATGGTGGATAATAATAGAAACATAATAACACGAGGAATAAATACACAATGAGTGACAATAACTTGGCTATATACACGGGGTACCAGTACTGAGTCAATGTGCAGGGGTACGAGGTAATTGAGGTAGATATGTACATATATGTAGGGGTAAAGTGACTAGGCAACAGTATAGAAAATAAACAGTAGCAGCAGCGTATGTGATTAGTCAAAAGAGTTAGTGCAAAAAGGGTCAATTCAGATAGTCCGGGTAGCTATTGGTTAACTATTTAACTAACTATTTAGCAGTCTTATGACTTGGTGGTAGAAGTCTTTCAGGGTCCTGTTGGTTCCAGACTTGCTGCATCGGTACCGCTTGCCGTGCGGTAGCAGAGAGAACAGTCTTTTTAGGGCCTTCCTCTGACACAGCCTGGTATAGAGGTCCTGGATGGCAGGGAGCTCGGCCCCAGTGATGTACTGGGCTGTAAGCACTACCCTCTGTAGCGCTTTGCGGTCGGATGCCAAGCAGTTGCCATACCAAGCGGTGATGCAGCCGGTCAATATGCTCTCAATGGTGCAGCTGTAGAACATTTTAAGGATCTGAGGGCCCATGCCAAATCTTTTCAGCCTCCTAAGGGGGAAGAGGTATTGTCGTGCCTTCTTCGCGACTGTGTTGGTGTATGTGGACCATGATAATTCCTCAGTGATGTGGACACAGAGGCACAGACACACATACACATGATAAGACAATCTACACACACGTGCACATGGATGTTGTATTGTAAATATGTGGTGGTGGAATGGTGGCCTGAGGGAACACACTGAATGTGTTGGGGAAGGTGTTATGAAATGTAATGTCATGTAGTATTTTAAACTGTATGTAGCTGTCTTATGTTTTTGAACCCCAGGAAGAGTAGCAGCAGCTATTGGGGATCCATAAATACAAATACAAACACATTCGTCCAACATTCTTGTCAATAGAAAATATCTTACATTAGACATAGAAAATCCACCACTCAATGTCTTATCATTCAATTGCTGACATAATAAATGTTGCATTGTCATCCTGTATAGTATATACTTGGATTTTGCTCCCATCAGCACTACATGCAGCTGTCACTTCTCACGGTCATGTCCCCTCAGTTGATGTTTGCTCACCTTATTTTTGATGTATAAGTGTTGATAAACTAGAGAATAAAATGACCCTTGTTGAGACCATTTATCTCCTACCAGTGATTGGGAACTTCTGTGGGATATGGAGTGTGGGATGCAGTGTTATTTGGTTGTTAATTGGATTCGTTCTGACATTTTTGATATCTTGTTTCTGATTATTTGTGTACTTGTTTGGCATTTTACTGCACTGTTAGGAGTAACACAAGCATTTCGCTGCACCCGCTATAACATCTGCTAAATTGTGTACGTGTCCAATAAACTGATTTGATTTGCAAAAATTGGAAAATAATACAGGAAAAGCAAGGATGCTGTTTTATCGTAGAAATTATGGACAGGTAGTTAATTCCCTAAAGTACAACATAATGAAATGTTAGAATTATTTGAATCAAAAGCATTTTTATCAAACGATTCTTGAAATGTTTCTGAGTTATTGTTCAAAACTTTTAGTTTTAGGTCCACAGTATTGTCTTTACTAAAACAATTTGGTCTTTGTTGTAAAACCATCAAAGCTAATGCCTTTTGATAATGCATAATATAAGATATTTTGTAGATGATCATCAACCATTGATTCAGTAAGATAATCAAGATCAAAAGGTAAGACTTTCTAACATTGATTTGACTGTCAAGTGTCATATGTTTCAGTCTCGCCCAACATCGTGGGTGTCCTTGGGGCGGTCGATGCGGTAGACGAACTCGGCAGGCATGAAGTATCCCAGGTATTCCACGGTGTCAGGAGTGGTGTCTATGTAGTAGTGGCCACTCTCTCCATGGTGGCTGAAGCAGTGAGTGTGCTCCACACGTAGGTCCAAACCCTGAATAGACAAAAAAAAGCAAGTTGGAAAAAGTGCAGATAGCAAAGAAAAGTCTAGTTAGGGACAATAGATTAAGTCTATACTCACAGGGTCTCTGGAGACCATCACGGTTTGGCAGATGAGAGGTGCGCTGACCTCAAAGTGTTTCAGCCACTTATTCACATTGTCATTGGAGTTGAGTGGGCAGGCTGAGAACTCCTTTGGCTATGCACAGGGAGGCACCAGAAAGACAATAAATGGGATTTGGTAACGCTCTCTTTGGCTGCATTTAAACAGGCAGCCCAATTCTGGTCTTTTTTTCCACTAATAGGTGTTTTGACCAATCAGATCAGCTCTAAAAAAAGAGCTGATGTAAAAAGATCTGATGTGATAGGTCAAAAGACCAATTAGTGGAAAAAAATATCAGAATTGGGTTGCCTGTCTAAGCAGCCTTTGAGGCCTCAGTAATAAGGGCTACATACGTTCTGACTGTTGGTGTCCATTGTTGTGGTTGGCAACAAACATTTTAAGTCATGGCAATGAAATAGAGAAAGCAATAAGCATGCATTGAGCCTTGAAACCACAACACCATGTCACAGAATCCTGTCAACACAAATATCTGCAAGTTTTGTGTTTTTACCATGATGTGGATCTTGGCCTTCCCTTTCTGGATGATGAAGGTGCCCTCCAGAGCCAGACTTTTATCAGGATAGTGCTCCTCCATGGACTTCCTAAGAGCACCCACAAGGCTCTCCTCACCTGTTCTCCTTTTGGCACTCACCTCTATGACCTGACCGTGACAGAAAATAAAAATAACATTTTCAGCACTGATTACGCAACCAGTTTAGTCTCCTGTTAAATATTTGTTGACCTAAAGTAATCATTTGGAGCAAACACAGACAGGGAGGTCTTAGTTCATGTAAACATGATTTCAATGATGAACCTAAAGGGCACTTTGTTTATGTCAATGCATAACCAGAGGCGGGTTTAATTCACCAGGAACACAAATAATGATGAATACACAATGATTAAGCACAATTTAAATGATAGTATGAAAAAAAAAAAATTATGCACTCACTAACTGTAAGTTGCTCTGGATAAGAGCGTCTGCTAATTGACTAAAATGTAAATGTAAAATAGTGAGCCCTAAAATCTCACTTGGTTTTTAACTTGATATGAACATCATAATTATAATAGTTATAATTCCAAATATCAAAATCATCTACACTGTATTCATCACATGCACCATTCTCTTACCATCCACATCATCCATCTCTTACCTTTCCAGGCTTTCCCTCACATGCATATAGGTTGGCCAGCAGTCCAAAGTCACAGTCTGAAAATTGATCACTATATTTCTCCAGTAGGCACTGGCCATCAGCTGGATTTATGGAGGAAAAAAAGCTGCTATTCACTGCAGGCCTTCCCTCAGCTTCAGTGAGGACCAGAGGCATCATCTGGGGTGATGATAATTAAAATGAGATAAGACTCAACTTATTGACTAATAATAAAACAAACTGTCTTCAACTAAGTCGTGTCTAATTTAAGCGTCCAATGTATGGGTACCATAATGTATCCTATCCTCCCAAAGTTTGCAATTGAAATGGACAACATTAGGAAGTCTTTCTATTCATGTAATCATTATGAGTCTAACAAAATACTACATAAATAATATCAAGACAATGGGAAGATAATTTTGACAACTAACAAACCTCTGCATTCATTCCAACATTTTTGGAGGATACTGTGACGAGGTGTGAATGAAGGAGTCAGGCGCAGGAGGTAAAACACCGAAGTCCAGAGTTTATTCCGTTTACATATATAAAACGCACCCAGCGTGAAAACTAAACTAACAAGGGAAAATAGAAGAGTAGCTCAACCGAGCTACTCGCTCTCACAATAAACAATCACTCACAAAGACAAGGGGAACAGAGGGAACACTTATACACATACTAATTAGGGGAATGAGCACCAGGTGTGTGTGATTGACAAGACAAGACATGACAAGTGCAGTGATGAGAATGGGATCGGCAGTAGCTAGTAAGCCGGTGACGACAAACCGGGGCCTCCCTGCGGTGGCGGTCAGCGTTCGCCTTCTGATGACGCACGGTGCGCTGGAGGCGAACGTGGGCAGCGTGCGTCCCAAGTCACCTCCGCGCGCCAAAACCAGTCATCCACCGCAGGAGCCTCAGTCTGGCTCTGGTGCCACGGTGCCAGGACCGGTTGGTAACCCAAAACACATTGGAAGGGTGTTAGGTTAGTGGAGGAGTGGCGGAGAGCGTTCTGAGTGTATTCTGCCCATGGTAGAAACACTGACCACTCCCCCGGCCGGTCCTGACAGTAGGTCCGCAGGACCCTACCCACATCTTGATTCACCCTTTCCACCTGCCCATTACTCTCGGGGTGAAATCCAGAGGTCAGGCTGACCGAGACCCCCAGACGTTCCATGAACAACTTCCAGACTCTAGACGTGAACTGGGGACCTCGGTCGGACACTATATCCTCTGGTACCCCGTAGTGCCGGAAGACGTGAGTAAACAGAGCCTCCGCAGTTTGTAGGGCCGTGGGGAGACCAGGCAGAGGAAGGAGGCGGTAGGACTTCGAAAAGCGATCCATAACAACCAGGATAGTGGTGTTACCTTGGGAGAGAGGGAGATCAGTAAGAAAATCAATACTAAGGTGAGACCATGGTCGTTGTGGAACTGGTAAAGGTTGTAGCTTACCCGCTGGGAGGTGCCTAGGTGCCTTACTCTGGGCGCACACTGAGCAGGAGGAAACATACACCCTCACGTCCTTAGCCAAGGTAGGCCACCAGTACTTCTCGGTCAGGCAGCGCATTGTACGACCGATACCTGGATGACCAGAAGAGGGTGACGTGTGTGCCCAGAAGATCAGACGATCACGGATAAGCGCAGGCACGTACTGCAGCCCAGCTGGACACTGCGGTGGAGATGGATCTGTGCGTAATGCCTGCGCTATATCCGCGTCCATCGCCCATACTACCGGCGCCACAATGCATGAGGCCGGGAGTATGGGGGTGTAGTCTCTGGGCCTCTCCTCTGTGTCATACAGCCGAGACAGTGCGTCTGCCTTCACGTTCTTCATACCCGGAATGTATGAGAGTGTGAAATCAAACCGGGTGAAGAAGAGGGCCCACCTGGCCTGGCGAAGATTCAGCCTCCTCGCTGCCCAAATGTACTCCAGGTTACGGTGGTCTGTCCAGACGAGGAAAGGGTGTTTCGCCCCTTCAAGCCAATGCCTCCACACCGTCAAAGCTTGGACAACAGCCAGCAGCTCCCGATCACCAACGCCGTAGTTCTGCTCCGCCGAGCTGAGCTTCTTCGAAAAGAAGGCACAGGGGCGGAGCTTGGGTGGCGTGCCCGAGCGTTGGGATAAGACAGCGCCTATCCCTACCTCAGACGCATCCACCTCCACTACGAACGGTAGTGATGGATCGGGTGAGCCAGTACCGGGGCGGAGGTGAACAGACCCCGCAATCTACTGAAGGCCAAATCAGCCTCAGCAGACCAGCGGAGCCGGGACGGCCCACTCTTCAACAAGGAGGTAATGGGAGCTGCGACCTTGCCAAAGCCCCAAATAAACCTCCGATAGTAGTTGGCAAAGCCAAGGAAGCGCTGCACCTCCTTCACCGTGGTTGGAGTCGGCCAATTACGCACGGCTGAAATGCGATCTCCCTCCATCTCCACACCTGTGGTAGTAATGAGGTATCCGAGGAAGGAGATTGACTGCTGGAAAAACTCACACTTCTCTGCCTTGGCATAAAGATCATTTTCCAGCAGTCGGACCAGGGACACATGCTTGGCGTGCGTAGAGGAATACACCAGGATGTCATCGATGTAGACTACCACACCGCGACCAAGCATGTCGAAACACCTCGTTCACAAAGGACTGGAAAACAGATGGAGCATTCATCAAACCGTAGGGCATCACCAGGTATTCATAATGCCCCGAGGTTGTGCTGAATGCTGTTTTCCACTCATCCCTTTCCCGAATACGCACCAGGTTGTAGGCACTCCTGAGGTCTAATTTGGTGGAAAAAAAACAGGCCCCATGCATTGACTCAATCACTGAAGGAATGAGGGGAAGAGGATAACTAAAACGTATCGTCACCTTATTCAGTGGTCGATAATCAATGCACGGGCGTAAACCGCCATCTTTCAGGGACTCGGTGACGTGTGTTTCCATAGCCTCCGTTTCAGCCTGCGACAGGGGATACACATGACTCCTGGGAGGTACAGCGTCTACCCAAAGGTTTATCGCGCAATCCCCCTCCCGATGAGGTGGTAATTTAGTCTTGGAAAACGCAAGCGCAAGATCATGGTATTCGGGGGGAATGCGCACGGTGGGGTTACCGTCTGGACTTTCCACCATGGTCGCACCAACGGAAACACCTAGACACCTACCCGGACACTCACGCGACCACCCCGTAAGAAATCTCTGCGGTCATGAAAAATTGGGGTTGTGAAGGGCTAACCACGGAATACCTAAGGCTAAGCAGGAGACTCAATAATCAAAAAAGTGATCTGCTCAACATGCGTCTCCTGTGTAATCATGGTGACTGGTACAGTAACCTCCTTAACCAACCCGGACCCTAATGGTCGACTATCAAGTGCTCTGATGGGGAGTGGAATGGATAGGGGAACCAATGAAATGCCTTGACGGCGTGCAAATGCCCTGTCCATAAAGTTCCCAGCTGTGCCTGAATCGACTAGTGCCTTACACTGGGAAACTACCAGGTGATCGGGAAAGGAGATAGATAGGGTACAGTGTGCCGCAAAGGGCTCTGAACAAGTTTGGGTGTTCGTTACCTGGGGTGAGGCGTGAGTACCCTGCCTACCGCCTCCAGACCCAAGAGAACGTTGACTGCGACGTGAGGTGGATTGTCCCTTCGTGCCACCACAGTGGCACTGTCGCTGTCCTCCTACGCTCTCTCGACCGGCGGCTCCCCCCAGCTCCATCTGCTCGGGGTCAGAGTCGTCCGGAGTGGGAATGGGCAGACCCCTACCAGGACGTCCTCTGGCTGCTAGCAGATTGTCCAGCCGGATGGCCATGTCCACCAGTTGGGAGAACGATAGCATGGTGTCACGGCAGGCTAGCTCCCGTCGGACGTCCTCCCTTAGGTGGAACCGGAAATGGTCGATCAGGGCCCGCTCGTTCCACCCGGACCCCGCTGCCAGCGTCCGAAACTCCAATGTGTAGTCCTGTGCAGTCCTCGTCCCCTGCCTCAGATGGACCAGTCGTTCGTCCGCCTCTCAACCCTCAGGCGGGTGATCGAAAACGGCTCGAAAGAGGCGAGCAAACTCCCCGTAGTCCTCCAACGCGGCACCTCTCTCGTTCCACACCGCGTTGGCCCACTCCAGGGCTCTCCTACAAAGGCAGGAAACGAGGACGGATACCTTCTCCCGCTCCAGTGGCGCCGGCCTGATGCTGGAGAAATACAGCTCGAGTTGGAGCAGAATCCCTTACATCGCGCTGCCGTCCCATCAAACGCCGGTGGCCGGGATATCTGGATCCCTCCAGAGACTGGGGTGTAGGTGGCTGGATCCGGTTGACCAGCTGGTCTCGATAGATCGGGTTCTCTCCTCTCCAGGCATTCTACTACCTGAAGAACCAGATCCATCGCTTCCCCCAAGCTGGCCAGCATCGAGGAATGCTCCTGGACCCTTGCCACAACTCCAGGCATGCAGTCTTCTCCTGCTGACTCCATTCAGCGGGTGAGTGATTCTGTGACGAGGTGTGAATGAAGGAGTCAGGCGCAGGAGGTAAAACACCAAAGTCCAGAGTTTATTCCGTTTACATATATAAAACGCACCCAGCGTGAAAACGAAACTAACAAGGGAAAATATTCCACCTTGGCAAATACAAATGGAAGAGTAGCTCAACCGAGCTACTCGCTCTCACGATAAACAATCACTCACAAAGACAAGGGGAACAGAGGGAACACTTATACACATACTAATTAGGGGAATGAGCACCAGGTGTGTGTGATTGACAACACAAGACATGACAAGTGGAGTGATGAGAATGGGATCGGCAGTAGCTAGTAAACCGGTGACGACGAACGCCGAAACCTGCCCGAACAAGGAGGGGAGGCAGCCTCGGCGGAAGTCGTGACAGATACAGCTCCTGCACCAATAATGAATGCTCCAGGTAGCTCCAATTACTTTGATACAGTGTTCATGTTGTACTCCTTGGCGGGAGAAATAAGAATTTATATTGGACCAATTGTAAAAGCATTAATCTTATATCAGTTTATCGTTATGGCTTTCATTCACTGTACCTTGTCCACTTTGACCAGGGGGACAAAATATGGCACTCCCACACAACCTTGTCGATAGGTAAAATAGATACTGCAGAGCAGTGGCGATGGTAACAAAGTATCACTGCATAATATTAGCTACTAAGGCCTTTATTATGTCTTATTAGCCATACAGTG